CATGCAAGCAAGAACCAGCACATCTTATGAATTTTCAGCACATCCACAACATCCACCTCATATATCTGCCAACACTGTTTAATGACAGCTAATAATCATTTAACTTAAAAAATTCAAAGGCACCTCAGATGCGTCCCCACATAGAGCACTCCCCTGACACAATACAGCAGCACGGGTATATCTCATCCCCAGAAAATACGTGCTCATTAACTACATCTCCCACCATTAATTCAACAGCCTCCCTGCTCCTACAGACACCTCAAATTTCATGCCTCCCACCTTCCCATCTTCACCTATGCTTACCTGCACTGTGTTCCAGCTATGACATGGTCTCATTTTTCCCTCTGGGAGCAGGACAGGAGGCACCAGCCCACTACTGCCTTGTTTACTCCCAGTGCTATAAGGGAGCATCTTAAATGACCTCCAAGCATTGTGGGAAGAGGAAAAAGCATTTCTCAGCCCTTCTCTAGCTTCAGGCTTTTGTAGGGTAGGGATCATGACCATCAGCATGATCATCATCATAATCTTCACATGCTGCCCCTGAGTGCAGTAATTTGGGTTTCTGCTATTTGTCCACCTGTAACAGAGCAGCTCATCAGATGTGATTTCTTTGCAGCTGAGATGCTTTCTGTTGTGAAGTTTCAGATATCTGGTAGTCAGTGGGAAGCCCACTAACAAGTCGTCTGTGTGCTCAAATTACTGTGGCCATCAGTGTCTTGTCTTCCTCTGGTTTATACTCTGGCTCCAACCATTCTCTCACTTCTGATGTTTCTAGGAAAGTGCCGTCAGAAGTTTGCTCACAGCTGCGTTCTCCACGTGGAACATACCAAGATCCATGTCTGGCTGAAACTCCTGCAGAAGTGCCCAGGATAGGCTTTCTTGTAAATATAGGAGAGAAGAACTTCTCCTATTCAGCTTAAGATATTCCATAATCCAATCACTGCTGCTCAGATAGTACTGAGGAGACTGTGCTCAGGACAGGCCATGGGATTGACTTCATGTCTTCCTCCACCCCAGAAGAGTGACTCCAACAGTAATAAGCTAGGAGAGCTCTCTCCAGGATGTGAGTTTTCCTCTTAAGAGAAAAAAATCCAAAACTATTCCTCTTATACTATTTTCATGTAGTCTGTGAGGCCGGGAACCAGGAAATGATGCTCTTGGGAAGGCCATGGCTGCCAGGGTACCAGTGTAAACTGGAGAGGGGACTTTATCCTGTTGTGACAACAGACTAGAGAGGAGAGAAAGGGCAAAAACAACCCCTCATTTGTCTCTCCCTTTACAGCAATGTCTTACAGATAGCACACCTCCCTTCATGCTCAATGGGTTAAACTGTTGAAGACAGTTGTTGAAAACAAAAGGTCTCCCATATTTGCTGATGTAATCTAAAAATACCCTGATTCTGCTGACGGCAAAAGCAAACCCAGGCTCCCAGGGTCTCTCTTTCCTTGCCCAGTACTGTGCGGGGGCCCCAGCTGGCTGACGCTGCCCAAAGTGAGACGAGATGAGCTGGAAGAGCAAGTTCAGCTTCCCATCCCCTCCCAGCCTCATTGCATATGGCATTTTCACCCTCTGCTCCCTCCACCTGCTCCACAAAAGCAACCCTCTGCTCCCACCCATCCCTCTGCCCAGCCCCTGCTACTTTCCAACTCCGGGTGCCAGTGGGCAGCATGGCCTGGGCAAGTGTCTGCAATGGGCCCTGGTGTACCATGAGGCTGAGCTCACAGGCTCGTTAGGTAGTGTAGGGCATCTTCTCTCCACCGCCTCCTCTCTGTCTCCAAAAAGGCTATATTAATTCATGATTTAGAATAATCCTAGATTTTCCTGCGTTTTGGGAATTTTTTGTTGGGAAGATAGAAGAAAATCTTCATATAATTTACTTATGCTGTGCTGGCATAGCTGTAGGGGATTTTAGCTTACGTCTGCTTGCGAAGTTAGCAGTTTGTGCTTGCTGGTACACTCACAGCCCGAGCCCTTTTTGAACAGCTGATTTATTTGGCCAACACCATCGCATCTGCAGTTTGCGTACCGAGTTTATGATTTCTAGGCTGTGGGTATGCAAGTGTCTGAATGCTTGGTCAGGGAGGGAAACGGTTCAGTGTCCCAGCTCTGACGCAGCCAGGCGGGATCAGCTGATACAGCTTGCTTGTCTTCCTCCTCCTTCTCCTCCTCCTCCTCTCCACCTCTCTGCTTCCAGATGCAAACGCTTCCATATTCGGCAATGTGTGACTATGACCGACGGCTTCTTAAGGGGAAAACATCTACCTCGGCAAATGCACTTAAGACTTTTTCTTCTGCTTCATATTTTAAAGCACATGTGGACTAGAGGAAAAATACTTCCATCTTCCATATCTGCTGGCATGTCTTAAGTCTTTTAAAAATGCCGACAACCTCCAAAGATTAGTTAATCGTAATTAATAAAGAAAATGCACTGGCATTGGAAAATGAATTGGCTCCCGTGAGTAGAAAAGTGGCCCGAAGAGGGAATTGGAAGCCAAGATTCATGAAATTTTAATCCTAGTTTCAGTATCAATTGTCTGTCCTGAGAGGGCCACTTAACTGCTTTGTCTGCTTTATTCCTTTCTGAATAGGACTAGACATTAGCTTAGTCACTGTGGTGTTCAGGGATTAATTAGCTAATTCAGCACCTCACTCTAATGATGTAAAAAATCTTAAAAGCTTCACTGGAAGAATTCAAGGCTGTAGCTTAAGAATTATTGCTCACTTACGACCTTTTTGTAACACATCTTGGAAGACATAAAGGTAAGGCAAGAGGGGAAAATTTTCATTTTCATTTTAAAGAGAGACACGCATTTCCATTTGGCAAGATTCTGCATCCTGATGGGAAAACGTAAACACCCAGTCTCTGATCTTGCCTCAATCCATATTTAATCTCAGAGAGTGCTGTGGTGTAACTTTGCAGACAACGGTTTCAGGAAGCATGGGAAAATATTCCAGGCTTCCTTCTGCTTTGGAGGAACTACAAAGGAAAAAAAAAAGGTCGATGAAGCAGGGCAGAGATCTCACGTAGTCCCACATGGAGGACACAAAAGCCATGGAAGACAGAGCCACAGAGCAAAAGTCAGCCTTTCTTTTTTTAGAAGCAAAAAGGAGACTTATACAACATCCTTTGGGATTAAAATTATTTCCCCTTTTCCTCTGTGCGGACCCTTTTATTTTGGTGGATAAGGGAATGAAACGCTGCCCTTGAAAGCCGAGTGATCAGAGGACGAAGACCAGAGGGGGATTTCTCACGTGGGAGAAGATGCTGCCCCTCTCCCTCCCCATGATCCTCTGCCGTCAGGCTCCCTCCCGCCGCCCCAGCGACGCTCACCTGCTCCCCTCTGCCATGGTGCCACTCCGTGCCCAGCTTTGGCGTGCGGCGAAGGGAGCGGGTGAGAGTACCAGATCAGATCGAGCCAGCGGCTGGAAGACAAGCGGGGTTTTAAGAGCTGGTGGCGTGTTAGGAAGATGCTGGAGTTGAAGCCTGCAGAGGATGGCGAGATTAAAAATAGGCTGTAGCCAGCCTTCCCTAGCATTTTGGCATCTTAACTCTCTGTTCTCCTTGTGACCCACTGAAGAAGAGGCAGCAATGGAAGAGATTATCTCTTCCACCACTCCAGCAACGTAGGACGAAATGATATTTAGCTCCTAACCAGATCCTTCTGCTCCCTCTGTCTGGTGAGGTCTACTGGAAGGGTCTAAACTGAGTGTTTCCTCCTCATCTTCAGTCAAACCGAGGGAGTCCCTCCTTCCCCCAAGTTCAACAAGGCGCTTGTGTGCATTGAAGATGATCTCATTCATTCGCATCTTACAGGGAGTTTGCAGGCTTCCGTCTTCTGATAGGGAAAAGGGCGATTTTTGTAGAAACCACTGGATATTGCACTGCAGGATTTTTAATTCACGACATTCATTAAAAGAAGCATTTCAGACAACTACATTACCCAGAAGAGTCCACGTGGCACCTTTGTACCTACATCAGCAATGCTGTATTTATATTAAAAAACCCCAAAGACAATTCATAATGATAAGAGACGCTGAAGGTGACCGAACCTCCTGGCCAACAACTCATACATTTTAGGGGTCAGAAACAGCTTTTTTTGCTCTTTGCCCGTGCTGTGTATTTCTGCAGGTTAGTTGTGGGACAGACAAGGCTTCTCTGTGCTGCGGGTTCCAACTAGCCGTGGGTCCAGGACATCAGCTGCAAATAAATGATCAGGCTTGTCCAATGTGGTAAATTCAGGAAGAATCTTTGTAAAGGCTGCTGTGGTATATGTTTCTTTTTCCCTCAGCTTGAACTTTCATATATCAACAAGATCCCTCATCTGAATTGTTTTAGGAAGTCTGAAGGGTGTTGGCAAGCTTTGTAAGTTGGTCTGGAGCAGAGCCAAGGGCTGCAACACCAGGTCGCCTGGCTCCAGCGCTGGTTTGGCTCCTTCTGCTTTGTTAAAACGTGCTCTCAGGTAACAACCCGCGACTGGGGAAAGCGTTGCGCAAAGATGCAGTGCCACATTAGCACCCTTTTATTTTCAGACTGCCAGATCCATACAGCTTTCTAGAGCCAGTCCTGCTCTAACTCTGGGTGCAATTTTCCCTTTTAGAGCTTCTGTGTAGTAAATGTTCTCCCCAAGAGAGAGCCACCAGGCAGAAAAAAGGTAGACTGGTATTTCCACAGTATAGCACTCCCTTGTATACTGCCTGCACTGTGTAAGTGCTTACTGTTGGGTGGGGGGGAAGGAGCCAAAACACAAAGAGCATTTTTGCTGTCCTGGTTTTCAAGTATATGTATTGGTGTAATTCAATAGGAGACAATGGCATATTTGAGTGAGATATGGCTGTGCCTCCATTTGTCCTCCTGTAAAGTTTTTCTAGCTTTTCAGCATTGCAGTGGGAGCACAAGAAGTGTGATGCTATGAGAAGTGGGATGCTATGAGAAGTGGATCTAAGGGAAGGAATTTGGCATGAAGCTGTGGCTTTCACTGGGCGTTTTGTCCTCTCCCTAGGAACGTTTGTATCCGCGTTCACCGTGCTGTGCGGAGCCCGGACCGACCTCCCTGACAGGCACATGTGTTGTGTCTTCTGGCTGAACATTGCTGCTGCTCTGATTCAGATCCTGACGGCGATCGTGATGGTTGGCTGGATTATGAGTATATTTTGGGGGATGGACATGGTCATTCTTGCAAGTAAGTACAGTGCACTCACCCGTCTGACTTCTCCCTTCCGTGGCCGTATTGCTGGGTCCCAGCTAAAGCCCCTGCAAGACGTAAGACTCCACTGTAGGGAAGAAGAGCTACAGGATGGGCTCTGCAAGTCCATGAGAAGAAGAGTAGGCAGAGGAATTGCTGGGAGGCAGTTGGGATGGGCCCTCTGACGTATCTGGAAGAGCCTCCCATCCCACCATGTGGGTTAGGATCTTCCTTTCCCCTTTATAAAATGAAAAGCGCAGGAAGGAGTGAGGCCCTCTAGCACTATGAACACTGCTGCCTGAAGCCCCTTCTGCCCTGATTGCATCCATGTGCGTGGTTGAATGAGAAAGCGTTTTCTCCCTCATGACTCTGTCATGCTGATGACATCTGTGGCTGCATGACAGAGGAGGAGAGAGGATCTCAGGAAATTGCCAGGCACCCACCTGAAAATGAAATGGATGAAATTGAAAAAAGCAGCAGGAAACCAGTGCATGTCTTCAGCTGCTAGACCCAGGGGTTATACTCTCTCACCAAACCACACAATTTCTGAGCCAGCTTGAATGTGCAGACTGAGTTATGGGCAAGCCCCGTGCAGAGCAAACGATGGATATTAAAACCTGAACATAAGCGAGGCAAAAGGCTTTCCTCAGGATGAAGGCAGCACTGCTCTTTGTTTTCCCCTGCAAACTACCTGCCAAGGATCCTTGTAGATGTACCCACAGGGTAGGGGGTAGCCTGATTTATTTCTGAGGATAAATTCTAAATCAGTGTACATCTGTGACGTGTCTTTAAGAACCTGCCCCATTTGTGTGTAATCCCATAATTACGTGTTCATAACCATATACTGTTCTGCTGGACAGCCTCTGTGTGCAGTTCACTGTCTGGCAGGACCCAGTTCTGCAGTTGTGGGCAGAGGCAGGAAAACGTCTGTCCAGATAAAGAGCTACAGCTGACACTGTGACTTGCCTTTCACCATAGTCCCGTTCCTGTATGTCCTCTGGGTAGAGGGGCTGGGCCTCAGGAGGGTCTTACTGTTTTTCCAGTTTGGTTGCTGGGGAAAACTGTACATCTTGGAAGTATCGCCCCAAAGCTGTTCCCCACGTCTGGCTTGACCCCACCAGTTTGGGAGGCAGAGTGAGCAGCGCGTGGTGGGGATGCTCAGGCCAGGAGGTCCCCGACCACAGTATCACAATGTTTCATCCCGGCCCCTCTGGTTGCAGTAGGGAAGGGTAAGAGGAGTCAACATGTTTTACGTTAACCAGCCATGTATCATCTGACAAGTCACAGCCCTTGGCAGTTTCTTGCTGTCTCACTAAATAGCTGAGTTTTAAGTTTACTTGCCATGCAGCGAAAATAATGACTAAATAAAGCAGCTCTTGGCTGATGGAGAATAAAAGAAAAATCTCATTTTTCAATCAAAACAAAGAACAGAAGTGATGGATTGCTCCCAGCTGGATCAGACCTGAAATGGTTCGTTTTTCATGTTTTGTTTTCATGTTTCAAAAAAAAAAGTAATCGCTTCAAAAGGAAACAATATTTCAAATGCAAGAAATAAGGCATTTCATTTACAAACACTGCCAGGAAATGGTTTGCTTTTCGTGTGTACAAACAAACTATTTGATGCACTCGCCAGAAATTGTACACCGCTGCAACTTGAGTCTGCACGCAGATGGGAAATAAATAGTTAAAAAAAAAGTGAAACTACTTCCCACCTCTAATCTTCCTCGCCTTGAAACAGCCGATTCCATGCATCCCTGTGAGGGTGCCAATGATTTCGTTGGGCTAGAGGCAGGGCACAGTGGGTGCTGTCTAAGTTGATGGGTGCTAGCAGGGAGGAGAAGGGTGGGAAGCAGCCGGGCGGTTCAGGGACTCGTCTCCGGCTTTCCCCGAGGGAGGAGTGCCTCTCTGGATCAGGGGGATCTTGCTCCGAGGGGAGAGCTTTGACGATGATGTCATATTGCCTTTAATGAGGGAAAAGGAGAAGAATTATAGGCCAATCAGGTAAACTTCAGTTCCTGGAGGAAGTAATGAAACAACTGACTTGTATGCATTTAGAAAATAAAAAGAAACAAATTCAGCCTGGAGTTGTCCAGTGCAAGCCGTGTCAGACTGGCTTTATTTCCTCCCTTCTGTGGCAGAGGGATTCATTTTTTGAGTGGTGGCAGTGGTTGGCCGACCCTCCTGACTTTGAGGCTCTGATGCCATCTCACACAGCATTCCTACAGCGAGCCGGGGAGACATGGCCTGGGGGGAAATGTGCTTGAGAACCGTCGTTCAAATGCATTTTCCTGAACTAGAAAGATGTAAGGAGAGGTGAGTTGAAAGGTCCCTCCTGAATCCGGGTCTGTTCAGTATTTTCATTCTTGGCTTGATGATGGACTGGAGAAGGGGTTTAGTAGTCCCACACCCCCGGCAGCTGCGAGGGTGGCAGGGGCAGGGAGGGCCCTGTCCAAATTCAAGAAAATGGATGAAATGATCTGAAAAAACTAAATGCTACATAGTAGAGACAAGTCCAAGATGCTAAGGAAGGATTAATCAGCTGCATAAATATACACTAGGGAACAACTTGTTTTTTGGAGAAGGATGTAGTGGCTGGGGGGGGGACCAGCTGCACAGGAGTACGTTGCTGCAGAGGGAACAACCTGCACCCAGGCAGGTAGGAGCAGAGCCTGTAGGACATGAACTGGCCCCGGCACCTTTCTCGCCACATGTAAAGCTGCAACGAGGCTCATGGCCAGCTTTGGAGGCTGTACTTCATGTGGACAACCTGGACAGAGTCCAGAGAACCGTGAGACAGCAGGCAGTGA